TTGAGGGGTGTCATGTGGACTGTGTGCAACTAATGAGAAACAAATGTGCCATTTATTATGCCATAAACTAAACTGTGGAGAAAGGCCTTTATTTTTCTCCTCGTGATTATGAGAATACAACATTGAAGGCAGCAAGGATGCCTAGGTCCCTTGCCCTGCCTGTACCATTGCCTAGCTTGTTCCTGTCACACCACACCACTGTACCTGCCAGTGAAATGGGAATATGGAACAATGCCTGCCGGATGGGATGACGTGAGAGGGAATGAATGAAAGCAAGGCTCTTTGAGATGATCAGATGACAAAAGCCACAGGAAGAGCCGCTTGAAATTACCCATAACCGTCCTATCCTCCAACATGAACCTTTGATTGTTTCCAACAGCAAACAACTGTGCCCTTGTTCAGTGTTAGAAACTGGGATAGGAAAGCTAGCAGCTAAATAGCACCTTAAACCTAGGTTATCGGCCCAACAATGGAATGTCTAGGCGTGCTTTTTTAATAACACGAACACAAAGCTGAAAATGAATGAACTGCAGCTAAAACATTATGTTCATTTTTCACACGGTCTGGTCCTTCCCCTGCCCACCCCCCTAATACTCTTAAGAGGGTCTTTCTCTAGTCTTCAGAGACAGCTTCCTTAAACTCGGCCCTCCAGATGTTTTGAGACTACAATTCCCATCATCCCTGACCACTGGTCCTGCTAGCTACGGATCATGGGAGTTGTAGACCAAAAACATCTGAAGGGCTGAGTTTGAGGAAGCCTGCTTCAGAGAGTAGCTGGAAGTGGGGAGACAGAAAAGGGTCCTCCTTTCCTTCCACTCTGCAGTTTTAATCTGAAATCATAGGCGCAGTACTGTGCCCAGAGCTTTGAAAGTGCTTGTGCTAATGAAATTCCCTATCGCAAAATGTGCCTAGAAGAATGCGAGTTTCAAACACTGCCCTTGTTTGGGTGCAGAGTGGACAAATATCCATGCAAGCCTTGACAAGATAAAGAGCATCTTGGCCCCATATTAGAAGCAATGCAGGGCTTCCCACTAACAGCAACCATTAGACCATCAGCTTGAGGCATGGAGATGCACTGGGAGCTTGCTTTGCCAATATAAAACTGCTGCTTACTGGTGTTCTTTGAAAGAAGTTGTAAAGAGATCTCTTCAGTCCAGAAAGTGTGTAGGTCAGTGGATGGAGCTTCTTCTTTAAACAAAAAACTTGATTCCTTTTTATTTTGGAGTGCCACCATTTGATTTGGTAGGGCTCCTGTGGCATACCTTTACAGCCACATCTAAGGCACATTACTTCCCACATTAAGGCACCTGACTGTCATTTGTGAAGCATCCTGGGAATTGCAGCTCTGCAATTCTTTGTGCTGTAAATATGCTTTAAACATATAGTGTGCACACAGAACAAGTGGATGAAAGGCAGAAATTCAACAGGTTAGTTGAATCCCTATCACTTCACCCCTGTACCAGAAACAGTAGTGCACACTGAATTTCTGCCAACTGTACATTTGTCAAAGGCACAAGGGAACCTGAAAGTAACAAAGTGACAACCCCACACTAACCCTTTTTTGGGGGGAAATTCCCTTATTCCAGCGCTGTTTCCCGCTGCTTCCCACTGCTATCCCAGATTGTTAGATATCCCGTAGACTGTCCCCAGGACAGGTGAGGCTGCTGATCCCTTATTTCGAGGCTGCTGATCCCTTATTTTCAAATCTGAAAGTTGACAGCTATGCATATAATTTAGCTGACCCAGTCTCTGCACCAAGAAATAGCAAAGCAAATGGCACATGTATGCCAGGTTCAGAAGAGAAGGAGAAGCTGCCCCAAGCCTCTTGAAAACCTACACACACACACACACACACACACACGTGTGGTTACGTACTTAATTCATTCCGGAGGTCCATTCTTAACCTGAAACTGTTCTTAACCTGAAGCACCACTTTAGCTAATGGGGCCTCCCACTGCTGCTGTGCCGCCGCCACATGATTTCTGTTCTCATCCTGAAGCAAAGTTCTTAACCAGAGGTACTATTTCTGGGTTAGCGGAGTCTGTAACCTGAAGCGTATGTAACCCGAGGTACTACTGTATAGTATAAAGCTGCTTGCAGCATAGCTTGCAACAGCTCTTGTTAAAAACACAGTTTTGTTACAAATCAAAGCCTCAGCCCACAATTTTGACATGTACTCAAAGTTGAGAGAATGGCAGATTTGAATTTGAAAAGCAAAGTTTATAGCCATTCAGAATGCAAGAGAAAAGACAGCCTGCTTTCTACCACGTGTGTCACTTTGGGAGGTGACGCTGTTGCAGATGTAAATTTAGTGGTCCTTCTCTGCCCTCCCTGACCACACAGAGCGGTTAATTGTTGACTCTGCATACAGAGATCTAGATACGCCTTTATTCTGGGTGCAGGGGTGAAGAAATGAGCTGAGAGTGGGAGTGAGGAGCCCACCAGAGAATGCAATGTGCTTGCTGCATTCACAAAAACGCACTAATAGGCCAAGCTCTATAAATACTCTCCTATAGGCATGTCCCACTGCTTACCAAAGCCAGCCTCTCTACTCAGACTGCTCTCCTGCTTCTCCTTTCCTAGAAACAGACAGCACGGCAAATAGCCTACAGCCATAAGTGAGAGCTCTGGGCTCACAGGCCAGTGGTAAAACTGTGCCACAAACGACAAGGAGTTGAAACCGGAGACTTTTCATACTCCCAAACAAAACACAAGCTCCGTAGGGCTGTGGAATGCCAAACTACCCTAGTTCCACATGGCTCGGTCCAGCTCAAGTCTATACCAGAAGGTCCTGATATTTGATCTAGGCTGCAACAGTTTCCAGAGCTAGGAAACATATGTCACTCCCCGGCCCAATTAAAAATTAAAGCCGGAAAAAGTGGACAGTTTTCTTTATGAACAGGACACAGCAAACATCAGACAAGTTCTTATCCTCCTGGATAATCCAGCCACTCTGAGTACTCAGCATTTCCAAGATGTTGCCATTAGCAGTGAATTATGTTCAAATATGAATAAAATAGTCTTAGTAATGAGATCAGCATGTCCTGTTCCATTTGGGACAATTCACACAGCTTTACAGTGGGCTTTATGAGAGGGAAAATGTGTGTGCATATAAAACATGCATCATAAACCTTCCATATGCAAAATAGTTGGAATTTAATATTTTCTCTCCAAATACAGTTACAGAATAAGCACAACATAATGTATTCCAAATATCTGAAGGCTCCACATACATTACCTCAGTAATCCCTACAACCAGTGCTATTCTTCTCCCTTGTTCTCTTATAATGGCATTGGTGCCCACCTGAGATGTGCCAGAACTGAGTTCCAGCAAGTTCTGGCTGGGAAAAAAAGCCCTGCGTACAACAATCCTGTAAGGCAGACTGATACCATTTTATTCTGATACTGAGATGAAGGCAGCCTGGAGAGAGTTGCTGAAAATATTCCAGCACTGCCTCTTAGCTATACACCTGGAAGGAACCTCCAGAGGCAACCTGGTCCAATTCTTGTCACTTCAGTATGAAATGGGAAGAGAGGTAGGGGGGCCCTTAATGAAATTCTCTCTTCTCACTCCTTTCAGTTTTAGCCAAATTATAGCTTCCCCCCTTCAACCTTCTAAAAACAGTACTAAAGGGGCTACCAGAAAAGGTAAAATGGCAATCCTCCTCTGACTGCAGAGGCAAAACCCCACCATTGCTCCTACAGAGGCACCAGAGGCAAAACCCATGAAAATATCCTCAAAACCATCACTGGCCATTCTGCTTTCTGAGCCCAGAGTAAGTGTTTTCTATTTCTTAGAGAAAACACAAATTTGGAAAGTTTGCAGCCTAAGTAGTTTATAACTGAGAACGCTGAGATATTTTTCTCTTCCTAGGGCATTACACCACCTGGAGATGACAGGGGGACTGGTGCAAATAGATGGTGCCTGTGGGTCAAGCTGCACAACAGAGGTGCACTGATGTGCTACCTGCCCACATGATTTGGGCTGCAGATGGATGTGATCATGCCCTGTGCGAGGAATGGTGTGGGTGCAGAATTGTCTCAAGATGATGCAAAGAACAAAGTACTGTTACTCTCTGATCTCGGGATCTTTCCATTGTCATTGTACCAGGTTGTCAAATCTCATATGCTAGAGATGAAACAAGCATGGCTCTTTCCATCTTCATTTTTTACTGTAATCTAACACCTCAAAAATATATTAGACACCGCAGAAATATATTAACAGTATTATTAACTAAGTGTGAGGCTAGTTACAACTGTCTTTTTCTCATAAAAGTTAGGTGTTTCTTAGCTCAGGTCTGTGATGCTGAGAAAAGATGGTGGAAGAGCTGAAAGTAATACTAGAAAAAGTTTTGGTAGAGAGAAAGTGTACTTTTTTCCATTGTGTACTGCCGTGCGATACCATATGAAAGACAGTATTTGAATACCTAAAACATTTTTTTTAAAGTCCCAGATAAATAAAAATAACTGTTTGGCACGGCAAGGAGCAACAGAAGGTCACCAAAGGAGACCAGAGAAGACCCAGCGGGGGCTCTTCCAGACATCCGCTCCCCACAGACTATAACCCCTATTCTGAACCGAGGCGGAGGGAAGGAGCGAGCTGATGGCAAGATTTGCTCCTCGTTGCAACGATATACCATTTGCCAGGAGTCCGGTCCAGAAAGATTCCTTCCGTCGCTGAACTCCTGCGAGTACGTCAAAGATACGGTAAGCCCAACCCACGCAAGTATTAGCCGTTGTAGTAAAATAAAGCGAGGATGAAACCCTATTTAAAGACGTCTGGAAGGTCTGGCGGGGGCCGCCGGGGACTAGCGGCGAGGAAGCTCGCAAAGCGCCGCTGCGTAAAGTTGGAGCGTTCCTTTGGAAACGCACCGCCGAGGCGCTGGCCCACCCGACCCGACCCCCGGATGCGCCGAATAGCGGTTTTATAAATAGCAACGGGAGAAAGGTGAGGCACCCTTGGCTTGTGGATCCCTCCCGATCCGCTCCGTGCGACTTACGTGCTGGTCCTGCAGTCCAGGTCCTGTCCAGCGCCGGCCAAACTTGTCGGTTTGCAGCGCTCGCTCGTCAATTCCGCGGCTGTTGCTCCGGCGCGTCCGTCCCTACAGCTGGCAGATTACAGTGCTCGCCAATAATCCCCAATGGAGGGGAAGATTAAAGGCACCAGGACCGCCCCCACGGAGGCCTCCAATCTCCGCGGCTTTCGGAGAAGCGTCACGCTGCCCCCCTCCCGCGTCCACCTCGGACGGGGCACAGGCGAGGGCGGGAGAGAGCGAGGGGGGCCGCCGGAGCCTGGGCGCCCGAGGGAGCCGGGCACAGGCGCACGAGGCGGGAGGGGCGGGCAGCGCGCCAGGGCGCTCCTCGCTTCCTTCCCCGCCGGGCCGCGTGCCTCTCTCGGCCGAGCGCGGAGACGCCAGAACTTCGGCAAAGTCGGCCGCGATCCTGAAGGCTTTCACTCCGGACCATCACTGGGGAGCAGGCGGTGGCGCTTCGCTGCGAGACAGGTTTCTTGGCCGAAAGGTCCGTCTCGACGCAGATCCAGGGAAAAGTGTTTAGCACCAAAGTTTGAAGTTCTCAGCCCAATCTAGGGCGAGTTGCAAATGTTTCCTTGGAGCACGTAGTTTTATATCGAGCATAATCCACACAGATTCAACTTTTCCAGTCCTCTTTTATTTCTTAAAGGCCGCTATACCCAGTCCAATCTAACCCTTACACGTAATTTTTCAAACGAGCGCGACGAGGATCGCAGCGCCACGAAGCGTCTTTGAAAAGCGTGGGGTTTAACTCCGATTGAATCTCTTAAACTCCGGGAATGAGCTCATCCTCGGTGTGGCGAAATGCTGCGTTTTTAATCCTGATACTATGTGTGTAAATAAATCGCCCGCTGTGTAGACACCCTAACCCCCCCCCGGCAGTCTAAAGGGGCGCAGCTCATTAAGACAGACAAAAAGAAAAGTGTAGATTAAATGCCACTGGCCTATTTTGGGTCTTCTAATCATCTAAATTTAGTGGGAGAAGCCAGAGCCGGATCCCAGGCCATAGAAGTACCAACCTTGGCAGTCAGACTACCTGGACATCAGATCCCTGAACGCAGCGCTTCACGGGGGCTTTATGCGATGTAAAGCACAACTGTTACCCTGCATTTACATGGCTTCCCCCAAAGAGGCCTGGGAACACAGACATATAGGTCCCAGCATGCTTAAAAAACTACAGTTCCCAAGATTCTTTGGGGCGGCCATGTGCTAGTGTGTGGTTAGGGCCTTTGTGCATCCAAGGGACCCAATGCGGATGCAAGTCCATTGAATCTAGGAGAGCCATTGAGAAAGCGTGCTAAGGCCAGCAAACAGGGATTTGCATAAATAGACTTGTGTAACAGGATAGTCATATTTACTTTGAAATCCCAGGACACTATGTACATAGGATTGCAACCCTCTGATGGCAAGATTGCAAGGGCATTTGCTTCCTCTGGATTCAATACCATTCTCATGGATGGCAATTAAGACATAATCTGAACAATATAAATACACCAAATGAGGTGCATTTAAGATGCCAGAACCGGAGAGTTTTTCTCTCACACTCCTTATATCAGTCAGGTCAAAGATGGCATTTTCAATGTCCACATGCATAATTAATTCATAAAGAAAGAAATGCAAACCCCATATTGTCTTCATATTTAGCATATACAATGCTGGCACAAGCTAAAAATATAATGTGTGATTCAGCCAAAGTTGGTTTGGGGTTTTTTTAAAACATCATTTATATGCTGCTTACTTGACCAGAAACCTAAGCCGCTTACATAAAACAATATAAAATATTCATTAAAATACTGATAAAATCAAAAGTTAAAAACAAATGGACATAAAATGTCTCCAAATATATATTGTTATTGTTGGCATCTGTCTGTCTTGAGAAACAGTGGTGTGTGCCTTCAGGGGTGAAGTCAAACCACTGGAGAATCACAGCATCTGCTGCAGCTGCAGAGACCAGTCACTTATAACTGCTGCCTCATGTGTTGTTTTTGCTGTGTTAGCAGCACTGAAGTGACCTCTCTAAGATGCAGGCCTGGGCAGTGTGTATGGAGGTCCTGGGTTGCCCTCGCTGAGCAATACTTTTGGCCCCAGGAGTTCTCAGAAAGAGTCGAACAAAATGGCATCTAACCGTGTTAGGGATTTGTGTAGGGTTTAGTCCTTAGTTTCTTCTTTTGCCGAAGATGTCCCACAAGGCAGCAGGTACTGATTTTGTCCTTGATGTTTACTCCCGACGTGTCTCCTGGATGAGTATAGACGCAAGGCAGTGGAGGTTTAGGACCAGAGTTTCCTTCTCCTGGATGAGCTGGCTACCTTCTCAGGTTGATGAGCCCCATCTGCCCCTCACTTCTCTCTACAGCATTTGCAGAAACCACCTTCTTGACCATTGGGTCCACTACTGGAATTGTACGCTCAATCCACTGGTGCCTGTCATTGCATGCAAGGGAAGTCCTTAACTCACTGAGGGTTTGAAAGCTCTTTGGCTATCCAGCTGTTCTTGGGGTATGGCTGCTGTCGCATGCTGACAGCTTCTAGGAGCCACAGGTGAGAACTAAGTGCAGGGTGGGGAGCAAAGATGGACAAACTATCTCAGAAGGAGCACAACGTGTCCCCCACCAAAGGTGCTACCCCTCCCCTAACACCCCATACATATGGCTTGCAAGAAATATGCATAATAAAGTTACATGTTAAAAATACAAGCACTTTTAAGTCCAGTTGATTTCAGCAAGACTGCTTTAAATCTCCAGTTGGTCAGTGGGACCTGAAAATGCTTAGGTTTGTCTGAATCATATTCACAGTTTACAAACTCTGTGGGTTCTTCCGGATGTTCTTGGATGTCAGGTGTCCTGGTTAAATACATCACTTGCATAAGCCACAGAAGAAAAGTGCAGATCCCTGCCATTCCAAATAGCTTACCACAGAAGGAGTGTGGTTAGTGTAGGTGGTCTAGTCTAGAGAATAACCTGTTTGGAGCCAGGAAAAAGCAGAAAAGCTGGCTGTTTTATAAAGCTACTCTTGAAGAAGAGGCATTTGATTCAAGACACTGTAAATATTTTAAAGTCCACCTGGAATTATTTTGCTTTTTTATTGTTTCAAATTCTAAATGTCTTTGCAGCATTAGAGAAACAAGACATTTTATGTTATTATGTTGAGGCAAAAAAAACTCAGCCTTGTGCCTTTGTTTTTCTGGATATTGCTTTCTATATGTCTAATTCTGCTGAGAGTAGCCCATATAGGATGTTATATGCAAATACCACATGCTAATGCATGGTTACATACACTTAACTTCATATTTCATGCTCTTATGTGATCCACACTATACATTTAAAGCATATTCAATGAACTGTAGTTTCCCCAGCAAAGAGCTACCATTAATACAGAGCTTATGCATTTATACATCATTTATACCAGAAATGCCATTATACAAATCTATAGTATGACCTGCATTTGGAATACTGTGTATCATTTTAGTCGCCAAACCTCAAAAAGGAAATTGTAGAGCTGGGAAAGGTTCAGACAAGGGCAGTAAGGATGATCATGGGAATGGAGCAACTCCCCTACAAATTTTTAGTTTTGGGGAGTTTTCAGCTTAGAGGAAAGATAGGCAAGGGGTGACATGATGGAAGTGTATAAAACTATACTGTGTGGCATGGAGAAAGTGGATAGCCCTCTCCCATAACACTAGAACTCATGGACATCTAATGAAGCTGAAAACAGGAGGATTCAGGACAAGTAAAAGAGTGGCAATGATGACCACCATCTTGGATGATTAGACAAATTCAAAGAAGATTTGAGAAATTCAAGTACTAGCCATAGTGTCTCTGAAGTATGCCTCCGAACACCAGTGTCTGGAAACGACAAGAAGGGAGAGTGCTTTGGTGCTCAGGTCTGGCATGTAGGTTTCCAAAAAGCTTCTAGTTGGCCACGAAGAGCCTGTTGATGGGCAGTTGTATGTGCACCCCTTTCATAACTTTCTGTACCTGCGGGGTACAGCAGTATTGGGACTTGGTCCACAGGCACTGCCCTGCTTCTCCTGAACACATTTACTGTACACATGAGAGGAATGCGTAGAGCGTCTAAAAAGCTAGATAAATCTACAGATTCATTGTAAAGAAAAATGCAAATGAGTGGTTGGTATGCAGCAATCTGCAATGTAGCCAAAACAGCAGGAGGCACATTCCCAGCAAACATAGTTTGTGGTTTGATCAAATTTGATCACTGTGATAACTTTCAGCATTGGCAACACAGTGTATTTATAATTCTAACTTTCTTTTTTTGAAATACAGTAGTTAAAACTTGACTTTAATTTTAATTCCATATGAGGACAACCTATGTTGTAAAGTGTAGCTGTGCAGGTGAACATGGTGAAATTATACGCAACAATAGTCTTATATAACTAATCTTTTACATTGAGCTACCACGTCACCCATACAAATACCGATGTTTGTATTGTACACAATACATCATGGGGTAAGCCCAGGTTTTCAACTAACCTTAATCAGAAAATCGTTGTCATCTAAAGTCAAGATCCCAGTGTGACCATGAAACCTAAGTAGTTAATGAGTAATGTACTGCCATTTATCAATTGGTGGGTTAGCTAAACATCTGAGGTGTCTCTGAGGCATTCAGATAAACAGAATGCCTTGTGGCTCTTTCACATGGTGCTTTTTCATTGCATTTAGTGCTGAATCTACAACTGGAAATCGCCCTAGTCCTCGAGATATTGCAGGCTGTGTTACATTCAAATGATTTTAAATTCATGTCTCATTATTTGGTGGGATTAAATTTTTCGATGAGCGAGAATTGCTACTTTTTTTTGGAGGGGAAGTAATGATTTTTAAAACAAATGTTTCTACTTCTTAAAAAAAAAAGCATCCCCCTCCAAAAAAAACCTGCATAGAAGCTTTGCTGAAGAAATCTTTTAAATCAGGGTTGGGGAACCTGTAGACCTCTAGACATTGTTGAACTCAAGCTCCCATCAGCCCCTGCCAGCATGGTTAAATTTTCAGATATGGAAGTTAGCTTTATAGGTATAAACCACCACTGAATAGAGCCCGGAGACTAATCGGCTGCCAGTGTAGTTGAGCCAGAATTGGTGTTTGGGCTGCTGAAACCTGACATTTACAAGCTGTCTTCAAAGGCAGCCCCACATATAACACATTGCAGTAATACCAGAGCACAGGCAACAGAATTTAGCTGAAGCTGATGGAAGGCACTCCATACCACTGAG